CAGTACAGTACCATATTCCCTCGGGTTCAAGTATGTAGGGCCATGCAGGATTGGTATATCAACCGCATCGGCAATAATAGTTAAAAAAAAGGGGCTACACTTCCTGGACTGGCCATGAACTGGGTTATAACCAAACATGAACTGCATTCTAAACAAGACGTCTGTCGAACTTTTGTCGCACCCTAAGGCTTAGACCCGATCATCTTTGAGAGCCCTCTGTCATGCTGCAGAAGACTAATTTGATGTAAGGGCTCACCCAAGCTTTGTACCTTCCAAGCTGGAGGCCCCCAAAGGGAGTTTCCAATAAAGGTGCCGTTTTTAAGGAATGCCTCTTGTGATTCTAGTCTGCAAGTATATTGGGGTCTATACCCTCTATGTATGCAAATACCAAAGCTGACCCCGATCTTGACGATTTTGCGGGTTGCAAAATGGGGTGGTTGTCAGACTTGTTGCCTCTCTCTGGGGGTCCCCAGCTAAACATGATCTCGTATATTTGGTTTACCCCACAAAGAGCCATGCTTTGCCAACCTTCCAGATAAAACTTCATGCCTCAAAGCCACCACATAATCCCAGTTTCCATTGCATTTGCATGTTCGTTTCCATTCCAGTCTCCACTATTGGGAGAATGTCCCTAAGCCCTGAACCCCATACAGGAGTTTCCATTTTCCCGATAAAGCAAATTGATAGAAGTTTTCCATTTTCTCTTCCATTATGCCTGCACTTCCCCTATATAATCTGTGTAAAGTGCCAATAAACCTCAACCTTGAACCCTGAAGTCCAAACTCCAAACCCATGAGCCCTCAACCCTAAACCCCAAAACCCAAACCCTGAACCCTTAACCTTAAATCNNCCCAAACCCCAAGCCCTACACCCCAAGTCAAGACTGCAGCAGCCTCGTAGCGCTCTGCAGAGCCACCGCAGCCCATGGACCCACTGTCATGGCCAGCACTCCAAACACTGATTAGGGTTTAGATTTAAGGTTTAGGCTTTGGGACTTAAGGTTTGGGGTTTAGGGTTGAAGGTTTAGTGTTTAGGATTGAAGGTTTGGTATTTAGCATGTAAGGGTTTAGGGCTTAGGATTTAGGGTTTAGGGTTCAGGACTAAAGGTTGAGGCTTATGTCAAAATGGCAGAAGGGATCCCTAAAGTCGTCTCTATCGAATCCGTCATAAGAGTTCCTATAGCCAGGTGTGCCCGTCTAAAGTTTGAATGGCAAAGGATTGCAAGCTGCAGGCTACATGCATTGAGGCTTAGGAATCAGGGTTGGAACTCTTGCAAGTTAGGTTCTCATGAGAAGCAAACAACCCACGCTAACTGTGGGGTCACTTGCCCAACTGTCATGTATTGGTGGTCTCACAGCTGTGCGGCTGGATGTTTCGCAAGTAAAGCCTCCTCGTTTAGTCACGCTGGCAGATACAGAAGGAAACCGCACGGTTGGGGCGCAAGAGCTACAATCGCACTCATGCGATCTAGTCCTATGACCAAATGATTGCACAACCAGGCACGGCTAGCAGTTGCTCATATGCAGGTCCAGACATCCCGTCCTGAGAAACATGTCCTGAAAAACCTCAGTAGATGGGCAGATATACGCCAAAGAGAAACTGGCAAATATCCCAACGGCCAATTTGTGTTATCCTTTTACCTATTCTGCCTTACAGATGGGGGATTGGTGACTGTGAGGCAGCTTTTCCACTCAGCTGGTTTGTTGTTCGTAGGTACTCCGCATCAAACATATCTAATCCAAACAGATATGACACCGCCCCAGATGGGCACACCTAAATATTCCCTGCCCATTCTGCTGAAAACTATGAAAGAAGGCTCACACGTGAACTGAATGTGGTTGAAGTGCCAGTACCTGTTGCGGGAATCAATGCACGAAATAGTCAAAGTCATAGCGCTAAAGCCCCGAGGACCCCGAATCCCATTGCCACATACGACCCTGCCTGATATAACTCTTATACAACCCACTATTCCTGAGTCCCCGAACTACCCCTAGAACCCAAACCCTAGGTACCCTAAACCTTAAGCCCCCACCAAAGAGCATGGGAGCCCTTACCATGCCTAGGCTTGAGTGGCACAAGTTTCTTGCATGACGGGATGCAAAATGCAAAGGTATATAGGGTTAGGGCCTAGGGGTGTTATGTAAACGGATTAGGGGTATAGGGTTTAGGGTTTAGGATTTAGGACTTAGGGTTTAGGGCCAGTGGGAAGAACAGCTATACGTTGTCTTACCAACCTACCTGCGAAATACAACGCTCTCAATATCCCTCTATGTATATATATATATACCCTATCATAATATAGTTGTTTCCATTTGATTTTCCATTATCCCAGTATAATCCCAATATCCCTATATATAGACCCTACTATAATGTGCACACTAAACCCTAAACCCCAAACCCCGAAACCCACACCCCTAAACCCAAACCCCTAAATCCCTCAGTAGTTTGCCCGCTCGTTGCTGGCATGCGGGGACATTAGCTTGTCATCAGCACGTGGCTCTCGGCGCAGAGGCCAGCAAGGAAGACATCCCCAAGTGGTTCAAAATACTGGTGGTTTCAGGGGTTTAGGGGTTTAGGGGTTGAGGGGTTGAGGGTTTAGGGTTTAGGGTTTAGGGTTTAGGGTGTGTGATACGAACTCAGAAGGACCCGGATATGATTACCATTATGCCTTGTGCTCACCAGTAGTGGGCGGCAGGGTCCTCACTACGCACCCCATTGGAACTGAAGACGGGTGCAAAGGCAAAGCACCAAAAGCTTCCTAGGAACATAATTGTACACAAATGGTCAAAGTCAAAATCATGCTCGCCTTTTGACCCTTCGTATAGCGCAGCCCTTAATACGTAGGTACCCTGAAAGGGGCCAACATTTTGGCAAACACCCATATGACGAAACAAAGGGTGAGTCGATAATTGCCTTTCTACTCTGCATTGCAACGGTTGCTTCCTTGCTGAGTCCCAAGTGGTGGAGAGCCAACATCCGACGCTAACTCACGCACGTCACGGATGGTCTTTGCATCCGCGCCCTAGAATGCTCCACTTGGAAGACCTACTTATTTGGAAATCAGAACAACATTGAACCCCTCTAACTCATGAGCCTCAGGAGCCCGAATACGGCATGAGTGTCCGGGGTTGCAACCCGAGCGGCATGCTTTGGCAGACTTGCTAGCTTTACTGCTCCAGCACTCAGGCTTTCTGAAGCCCAAATGACACCCCCAAAGGATACAGATCAGCCTGGCCATTGATACTGCGCAGAAGAAGCCTAGACCCCGAACCCTAAGCCTTAGAAGCCCGCCTAGACCCTCAACACTAAGCCCTAGAAGCCTAGACCCTGAACCCTAAACCTTAAACCCTAGAAGCCCAGTGCCTACACCCTAAAACCATATCTCCTGCCAGGACTTCAGTCTTTGTTCTGCAGGGCCTGATTCTACAGAGCTACTCCTTAGGTGGACGCACCACCGTGCAATAGTGTGACTATACAGGATAATAAGGATTATATTAGGGCCCTAATATATTCCTACTATACCACTATTACAGGGGGGGGGTCCTCCTAAGCTACTCCTTTAATAGTTCCCCCTTACCCTTGGTAAGCGAATTGCAAAAAACACAAGAGTTATCTGTTGCAGCAACTATAGGGAGATACATGACCCTAAACCCTGCACCCTAAAACCTAAATCATAACCTGGCTCTAACTGGAACTGTTCTTTCCTAGCACTGATCCTCCAAGTAGCTGGCAAGCACCTGCACCTTAAGCAGGGAAACTCGCACTTACTTACCTCTGGGTAGCATGGAGTTTAGGGCGTAGGGTTTCGGGTTGAATGAGGAAAGGAAGAGGCAATAAAAAGCACCCATAATGGAGAGCCAATGGAAAATGGAAACAAAATGGAAAGAAGGGTTGCATAGGGATACATATATATGTATGGGAATGGAAAAGAGAATGGAAACCACATCACCAGGGATACATATATATATATATAGATGGGAATGGGAAAAGAAAATGGAAACTACGTCACCGGGGATATATATATATATATGTGCGAATGGAAAAGAAAATAGAAACTACAAGACCGCAGTACTACATTATGAAGGATGGTTCAGGGACTACTATAGGGATTGATACACTCCTTCATTCCTTGCTAACCAGAGGCAAGCTCATTGACCTACGCTAACTTCGAACTTTCGCTGAGGGAGCAGCCGAACCTCCAACTACAACCTTTTCAAGTAGTCTAAACTCGCGTCTCCGCATCTCCCTTAGTAACCCCTATAATACTCCCCTATATAACCCCCTTTAATGAGTTTAGATATAGCCCATCTGTGCTTGCCCTAGCGCTCTTGCATAGGCGCTAAGCTCGGTGCTCCAAAGCTCGAGACTTCGCAGCTTCAGTATTCTGACGCAGATTCCACGGCGTCGTCGAACGGAACGTATCTGCACATGACCTCGCAGGGGTACCCTAAACCCTACCTCAATACCCTTAACTTTTAACCGGTTTAGGCAAAGGGTCCAGGTGTCAGGTTTATCGGTTGGATTGGGAGTCAAAGTTCTTGGGCGTGGGTGAGCTTTGATACCCTAAACCCTGTAGAAGCCCTAAACCCAAACCCAAGCCTAAACCATGAACCTTCATCCCTGAACCCTTAAGCCTCAACCTGTCTAATTCCGCGATCCTGTTCCGGCCTTGGGAAAACTACATATTCAGATTAGGTCAATGGACTGCTACCCGTGGAAGTTTCCATAGATTGGAGGCCCCAACATAGAACCCCCTACTTGGCAATCCTCATTTGAGAGGACGCCATAACGATGACATGCGCGCTCCCATCACCTATGATCCCCACTTAACCAGGACAACGCTTGTAAACAACACACTCACATTCTACGACCCCGTTCAAGCACCCAAAAGCAATGAAGCATTGTTGAAAGGACCCCAAAATAAACCCTAAACCCTAAACCCCTAAACCCTAAACCCTAACTAGCTTTGAGTAACTCCTTCCCGCCATCCGGAAGATCGCCTCCTCTAAGTCCTCTTCTTCGATCCAGCCGCTTTGGTTTACGTCCAACCTGGCCACCAGCACAAGGAATTCCTAAACCTAAAAGTCAAGGGTTTAGAGCTTAGGGCTTTGAACCCTGAATCCTTACTCCCCAAACCGTTAAGCCCTGAAGCCCTAAACACCCCAAGCCCGCAAACCCCTAAGCCCTGAAGCCCAAAACTTACTCTTGGTTAGCTAGGAATGCATGAATGGATCCTCATAGTAGTCCCTATATAACCCATTACAGTAGTTTCCATCCTTCCACTCCTTCTAAATCCTAAACTCTGAACCCTATGTAGTTTCCATCTTCTTTTCCATTCCTCCATTCCCAACCAACCAAAGGTAAGTAAATCCTGCATCGCGGGCCCTATCCACTTTAACTAGGGATAGTACTGGAAAACACTCATCTCGTAGACGTCCTCGCTTTTAGTAAAATAGATATCGTGAATCATGACAAATAATTACCCGGATGCGGTCCCCCGCTTTTCCTCCATGTTTCAAAAATGTTTTCGCATGTACTGTTTCAAATCTGCTTCAAGACCTTCTCCGGATAAGGTGGGCATTTCCAAAGTTTGGACCTTTTCCCCTTATGTACCAAAAATGCGTTGAGCTTTCTTAAGCAGAGGAAGTCCCAAAAAAGTGGACCGGTGGTTTACGGAAAATGTGGAAACATGCGCGTAGCCCCAGCAATGCTCTGCCTCTGGCACGCCAGATCGACACCCAGCTCAGACACCCCGCCGAAGGCGCTCAGCACAGGCTGCGCCGCCTAACGGATGGAAGGCTCTGAAAAGTTGATTGCGGAGGGTTTGAGCTAAAGGCTTAAGGTTTAGGATGTGGTTTGTTGGATTTTGTCTGTTCGTTGGCCCCGCATCATACAGTCTACACGGATTTGGCATGCTTAGCAGGATCCTAATGTCAATGAGCTTCCGCGAGGTTACGGAGCTGCGTGTGTGGGAGCAAGAACGCGAGGATCGACAGCACTCATACACGCTTGTGACCCAAGCTCTACAACAGCAAGACCCGAACCAAATCAAGCTGTGGAGCCGTGTAGAGCTGTACTAAACCGCACAACTGACAAATCCTTAGCCCATGATCTGTGCTGGATGCTCTGACCCAATCTGCTGTGCCACCCTAATCGCTGCACCCCTGAAAGTCCAGGCGTCGGAAATCGTCCCTCCAAACCCTGCACCCCAGTACAACAACACTGAAAACCTACAACCCTAACTCCCAAACCCCGAACACCCCACAAACCCAACAACGAAACACAAGACCACCCAAAGCCCTGACTCCTACTAGATCCTAAACCTTGCACTAAAACCCTAAAACCCTCAGTCCTGACTCCGCCGCAACCCTGAACCCTAAAACCCTAAACCCTAAAACCCTAAACCCTAAACCCCAAATCCCCTTGTCTCCACAATCCCAACTCCCCTAGTGCCTCCAAGGCCAGGGGGGCGCCCTCAGGGCTCAGGGCCAGGAAAAGCTCTGAAGCTCTGAGGTTCCTTTGCAAGGTTTCGGGTTTAGGGTTGAGGGTTTAGGGTTGAGAGTTTAGGGCTTAGGATTTGGGGTTTAGGATTTAGGGTTTATGGCTTTGGGCTCAGGGTTTAGGGTTTAGGTGGTTTGGGGTTGAGGATTGAGGATCGAGTAGTGGTGGCAAAAGCCACCTATGTAAGGAATAGGTCTTAGGGCTCGGGATTTTAGATTAAGTGGTGGTGGGCTGCAAAAGACGGATCGAACATATAAGCCATCTACGTTCGTTCCCTAGGCCAAAACATAATGGTCCATCCTGAAATGCCTCGATGATTGCTTTTAAAAGACTTTGGCATGGTTATAACCCTAAACTCTAAACCCTTAAAGGCTTTTGGATCAGCGATTGGGTGCGGGGTCTGCAAATTGTTTTAGCTCCATTGATGGAGGGGTGCTTAGGGCCTTTAAAGTGAGGGTTTGAAGCCTTCAGGTTTAAGGGTGGAAGGGTTCAAGCGCTCGCGACGTAGGGATGGGGGCGATGGGGCAGCCTCAGGGGATTCATGTGAGCTATAGTCTAAACTCCCTCAAGAGGGTTATATCAGGGATTATATAGGAGAGAACTATAGGGCTTGTTAGGGGGGGTGGGGGGTACTGGGAGTTTAGACTATATCCCGTATAAAACCCCAGTTTCCATTTCATGTTCCATCTCCTCTTCCATTCGATTCTCCATTTGAGAATTGAATTTGTAGGTACAAGAACCTGGTGAAGTGAAGAAGAGAGCAGAGCTGTGAGTAGTAGCAGTAGAAGAAGGTGCAGAACCAGTACTATCCGTCGCCTCTGCTGCTCCTGTGTTCCTACTGCCAGCTAGGTATCCCACAACTCTGACCCCCTTTCCCTATTCAACCCTTTATACCCTACATATGTGTGTAGATATATATATATATGTATACACATTCCCTTTTTTACCCCTAAACAACTCCTAGATACAGGCCCCCTTAAGCAGATAGAACATGGCTTTGGGCATATTATAGTAAGATCCCCATATACCCCATATTCTATCTCCTTAAGGGGGACTACACCCCTATATCACGCCTTTTAGGTATTGTGATTTTGCGACTTCCCCCTAAACCCTAAGCCCTAAACCCTAAACCCTAAACCCTCCAATGTCAAGGAAGTCTCGTCCGTAAAGCCGCAGCTGCAAAGCGGTCCAGAAGCTCCTGGGCCTTGCGGCAGACGCAAGGCAGGGGCTCACATCAGGGCTTAGGTTTTAGGGCTCAGGGCTTAGGGCTTAGGATTTAGGGTTTTTCTTTAGGGATTAGGGTTTAGGGCTTAGAGTTTAGGGATTAGGGTTGAGGTTTTCGGGATTAGGGTTTGTAACAGGAGTTTGAATGGGAACCCCAAAACAGGGAGCCCCAAGAATATAGTAGGAATATGATAGGGATATAAGGACCCTGGCGGGCATATTCTTATCATATTCCTACTGTATTCTTGGGGTTCCCTGCTGTTGGGTTCCCATTAAAGTCTTCTTAGGGAACAGGGATGTCTGAAAATCAGGGGTGCCTTTTTGGGGGGTATTTGAGCAAGGATTGTAGTACTTATTGCAGTCCCCCTAATAGTTATGGAAACTACCATATACGGAGATATAGGGATATACAGATCTATATGAGGATATACAGGATTATCTGGTGATGTATCCAGGGTTCATGGATTGTACCCAAGCAATAGAGAATCAAGTGGCAAAGAACATGCCACATGAAATGGAAGGGGGGGTTGTGGTGAGTTGTCGAGTTGAGAGCTGAGCTACGTAGGCATGATACGAAACACTTGTGATGTTTGCAATATTCCCTAAACCCTAAACCCTAAACCCTTATTACCGAAGAGTAGGATATTAGCTGCCAGAACTTGGCTTCTTCGCTACCTAGATTCTGGGTTCAAGGCTAAGGGACTAGTGTTTGTTTGCAGTTTAGGGCCAAGGGTCCCTAAAATACCTAATATACTGTAATCCCTACGTAGCCCTCACAGGCCACCTGGAACTGCCCTCAAGTATGCATGAAATTTCCCACGAAACTCCAGGCCTCAACATCCGGGCTCTTGTCCACAGGTTCACAGCTAAGCTCCTCCAACTCCGCTTCAGGATTTCATGCGAGGTACGCTTAGGGTCTAGGAGTTGGGGTTTTGGGCTTCGGGAATTGTAACCCAAATATATACACTCACCAATATTCCGAGGGATTCCTCTTCACACTCACCAAAATCCATGATGATGAATACCCAACTTCGTAGGGGGCTATAGATGGTTTGTGGAATCTGAATGCCCATTAATCGTGGAGAATCACACCGGAAGAGAATGGAACATGAAATGGGAACTAGGATTATTTCTAGGGTTCATGGTAAGCAGAGCGTAGAACTTGCGTAGGGCAGAAGGAATGGGAAAGAAAATTGAAGCTACTGTAGAGTTTAGGCTCTAAGGTTCAGCCGGTACCTGGTACTTTAATTAAAAAGTGCCGCAGGGCCCATTTTGGGTTCCCCTGAAACTTTGGGGGGAAAGGAGTCAGGGTTCAGCACTTGAGTCTACAGTTTTTTGAGGATCTGGGTTTGGAGTTTGGGGTCTGAGAAGCTTCAATATAGTACAAGTTTTTGATTCTAGATCATCTGGGAAGCTTTCGAGCCTGGAAGGCCCTTGAAATCTCAACCCCTGCGAGGACCGCAGGGATATGCTTTGCAAAGCCAATGCAAAAAAGGAAAAACATGCCCAACATGTCGGGTGGCAAATAGAAGGATATCAGGCAACATATCATGTGTCAAATAGAAGGAGGCAGCCCTTTATGCTTCGAAACCTCACTGTTCTCACTGGGCGGCTTGATGAAGCCGTACCTTCCTGTGGCTTCGTAAATGGTTGGGAGTTAAGTTTAAAGACCTCGACCTCAGGGTCCAGGTTCCCGAGCATCAGGGCTTCAGACACTAAATGCTCAAATTGTTTTGATGCCTGATTTCACTTGCCTTGAGCCCGCAATCGTACTACGATGTGCCCCGGCCCCAGCGAAGCCCTTGGCTCCTCAAGTTCCAGCTCCATCGCATGCTGCGCCTTCGCTTTCCAAGGCTTTGGGGTTCAGGTCCCTGAGGGAAGGGTAAGATGAGCCTGCTGGGGCAGCTTGGTTTACATTGCGTGGAGCTTCGTAAAGCACTAAAGCTGAGTCGTGCGAACCTGTAGACTCTAGACGATGCAGCCCACAGCAACTCAACCGCCAAACTATCAGCTGCAGCGTCACTTTGAACTAGTCCCGAAATGACCTCCGCACACACGTGTCTGTGCAAGGCTCCCGCACGCTGGATTCCGAACATTTCGCCCACGTGTCCGTCAAACAGACCCATCTATCTCTATAGACCCTTATACAGTATACTCCTATATCTCCCTATAAATCCCTGTGTACCCTGTATAGGCGTTTAAAAGGCCCCAAGACCACCAACATAGTTTTCCAAACTTAGGCACGACCCGCTCACTGCGCCTCCTGCAGCTCCTCAAGTTCGGTCTCCAGGAGGCTCAACTCTGCCTTTGAGGGTTTAGGGTTTAGGGTTCAGGCTCAGGGTATATAGGGATATTGTAGGGATATTGTGGGGATATTGTGGGGATATTGTGGGGCTGTTATAAGGATATTATGGGGAAAGTTTAGGGATGTTCTAGGAATATCTGGGGAGGTGTTTTTATGGGGATGTATGGGGATATAGAGAGTAGGGTTCAGGTCTGGGATGGTAGCGGGTGATGTTTTGGGTTCACGTTAACGGTTCTGTGTTTGAGGGCTAGGGTTTAGGGTTTAGGGCTTTAGGGCTTTGTTCTGACTTAGGCTTCAGGGTTTGAGGCTCAGGAGTTTGGGCTTCGCGGAGTGCCTAAGAAGCAACTGCAGCAATTGCTTTGCTCCACAATCCCAATCCCTGATTGGATAAGGTCCCTGCAGCAGCTACACTCAAGCCGCCTGGTTTGCAACGTGAGGCTGCGTGCAAAGCGACGGCTCATTTCACTCCGGCGCTCTGTGAGATTCCTGCTCCGACGGCATTGTCTGCAACGACATGCTCAGCTGCCATCTCAACCCTAGGCCCTCACCAATAAACCCTAAACCCCTAAACCACCGCATGAACTCATTGCAGATTGAGGCCCCGCTTCTCTGCTGACACGCATCTTTCTCCACCAGACTGGCACGCGCACCCTGCTCCTTACTGTATAATACTTTCCATTTCTTTTCCACTATTCCCCATTTCACCCCGATATCATACCCCTACATACCATATATTACTTACATGTTTCTTGTGCTGAGAGTAAAGCCGCTGCTCATGCAACAGCACCTTTCTGGATGCTACAGTCCCAGAGGCTTCTGCAAGCCTGGCCTGGAGCTGAGGTTGCGCTTACTTTGATTAAGAGTCCCTCCTTTAGGGTTTAGGGGTTTAGGGGTTTAGGGGTTTAGGGTCTAGGGTTTAGGTGTTGCGGGTTTAGGGTTTAGGGTGAATGCGTTTGGAGCTACTTGAAGAACTTCACGCATCTGATTCGAGACCCTCCTTGATGTGTCGCAGGTTGGGGTTCTTATAGAATCTAGATGACCCACCTTTAAACCAGCCCCCAGGCCTATAGTCAGAGAGCATTTCAGAAGACTTTCTCTCCTAATTTCTGCCCCTCGAAAGTCAGGCAGGGGGGCCCTGCATATGAAAGACCCTCAACTCTAAGCTCGCAGCGCCCCCAGAATCATATAACATAATACAGTCCAGTATGGATGTATATGTATATATATATATATGTATACACTTACATACAGCGCAATAGACAACGTAATATCACATAAACTATGCCCTAAACCGTGAGAGCTCCACGTATATAACATAAAACAGAATACATTTAGTATAATGGCAAGACAGAAGCCCTTGAATCCTTGCAGCATCCCTGATAAGGACCTCCATAATCCCTCATAAGCCTCTATACTTCTAAGGTCCCTGTAGGGGGCCGCTTCTTGAGAAACTAGCGAGGCCCATGATTGGGGGGCTAACATCCCTCCACCCTAGATTCTACACAACCCTATATAGTCTCTATATAAGCCCTAACTGGGCCTCCAAGATTTCATGGTCTGCGAGAAGTTGCGCCTGGATGTGCGTTCAGGCTCACGAATTCAAGATGCAAAGTTCAGGGTTTACTGCTTCTGGTTCCGGATCATGGTTTTAGGGTGTAGGATCCAGCGTTTCGGATCTAGTTTGAAGGTTTAGGGTTCAGAGTTCGAGGGCTGTAGGATTTAGTGGTTCTAGGGTTATGGGGTTCCAGGATTTAGGTGTTCTGAGGTTCTAGTGCCACAGGCTTTGGGGGTTCTGCGGTTCTAGGGTTCAGGGTTTAGAGTTGGGTATTTTGGGTTGCGGTTCAAGGTTACCAATACCTCATTTAAGGATGAGGATTTTTATGCAGTGATGGAGAATCACATGGAAAAGAGAATGGAAAATGACTAAACCCTAAACTTCTGCGACTCTTTTTGGAGTGGGTTTCAAGAGAGCCGAATACATCCTCATTAGGGGATCTAATCCCCTCCCCCTGATGTTAAAGCTCCCACCCCCAGTGGGTGTAAAATATTAGGGGAAAGGAATTAACCTGTATGATGCTAGGATCCCCAATATGATGTCGAGTGCATTCCTTCACTAGGGGGTATTAGGCTACCGCTACCTGGAGAAAGCGTTTGAATAACACTTTTCGTGAAAACGTGCATTTCGTTGAAAATTACCCAAACTTTTAGGATATCTTTGTACAAGCCTGATATCATCCTTCTAGAAGCTGCACATTACGCAGAAAACCCGTAAACCCTACATAGCAGTTTCCATGTCATGTTCCATTTGATTCTCCATGTGATTCTCCCTTCCCAATAAACTGACCCGAAATAGCAGTTTCCACTTACTTTTCATTTCAGCTTTCCCTTTGACTCTCCATCACTCTGTTGCTGAAAGCCCTATCTAACACCAGTTTCCATGTGATTTCCTGTTTGTTTCTCAATTTCCTTACCCCTCAACCCTAAACCCTAAACCCTACATCCTAAAACCCTAAACCCTAAATCCTAAATCCCTCTGCACCTCGGGCAGGGACAGCAGCCTCAGCACCCGCTCGCAGTCGTGCGCTGCAGGGCTATGCCCAGCCAATGCATGCAGAGCCCCCTCGAAGCCTGGTAGCTTGTTTAGGGTTTAGGGTAAAGGGTTTTAGGGTTCAGGGTTTAGGGCTTGACTTGCTGTTTGTGATAGTCATATGGGGGTTCCCAAAACTAGAGGTACGCACCTTTCTGAAAGCCCCTATAATAAGGTTTTGGAATCTATATTAGCGTCCCCTTTTAGGGAAACTGCCATATAAGGATCATGTATGCACATATGGGATTTAGGGGATCTCATGCAAATAGTGGAGAGTCAAATGAAACTGACAATGGAAGATGAAGTGGAAATTGCTTCAGGACCGAAGTACCTATAGTTGAACCCATCTGGGCCGAAATTATTTACTGCTTACGTACTCGGACCCTTAGGGCTTTGGGTTTGGTGGTTTTGCATCTCTATACCCTGAACCCTAGACCCTCAAACCTACCTAGTAGTTTCCATGTTCTTTTCCGGTATCCCCATATAACCCCTCTATAACCCCTATAATAACCGCCTACTGTGAGGGCAGAACAGGAGCGAAGTGTTTGGGAGTGTTGGTGGGCCCCAGCTGATCTTTTGGCTAAGGGGTATGGGTTTGGGGTTTACGGGGCCCCAGTGGTGATCTTCAGGCTCAAGGAGTTCGCTGTGGGGTTCTGGCTGCTACTGGTTGCTTCTTGGAATCCTATGAAATGTTGTGCTTCTACCTTTCTTATTCCATTATAGGATGAAATACAGGCACACATATCCAACAATGGCCCCGCCTGAGTCACCAGTGACAGGGTTCAAGATGCCAGGGTTGTGCTATGAGGACACTATTATTCATTGCTATTGTTACTGTTATTACTACTATTAGTCTTACTATTGTTATTGTTATTATGATATTACTTCAAATGGACGCGGTTGCTCTGCATGGTGCACATGTTGCATTTGGATTCCCAGCATTTCAACCTGCACAACTGAACATGGATGTTGCCACGTGCCGCCATTCATCCTACTATCAACTCTCACAAAGTGACCCCTTGAGCCGCACTCATTTCTTGCAGAAGAAGAAACATATGTGATAACGCTGCTTCCATTTCATGTTCCATTCGCTTTTACATATGATTCTCCATTGACAAAACCCCCCACCATAACCTTGAACCCTAAACCCTAAATAGTAGTTTCCATTTTCTTGTTCGTTATCCCTGTATAACCCCAAGACAAATCCTACATTCCAACTGGGACCCAGGAACCCTCTTGGCACGGGCTGGCACTGGCGCGGCACAGTGGGCAGGACGACTGCCTGACGGGTCTAAAGTCTAGAGCCTACATGGGTGGTTGTCAAAATTATGGTCCCTTTTTCGGTACCCTAGATATTATTAGGTGCCGTTTTATAATAAGGATCCAAAAAGGGACCATAATTTTGACAACCACCCACATAGACACAGCTTGGCTCTAGGATTTCTACAGGGTTCAGGGCTCTCCTGGGTACAATATTGGGGCCTCTATCATAAGCTCTATGGTATTTTAGGGGTCTACATCTTGGTCCTCCTATTTAAAAATTCTACCAATCTCAAAAACCCTAAACTCTATGGTATCTGCGCAGGGCATTCGATCACTGCCTCTCCAGCCAGCTGTAGATGCAGTGATGGTGCCATTCCTTGGAACTGTTGTGGCAAGGGCTTCATGAAAATTTGCGTTTCATACAGACTTTCGCAGTTGGCAAAGGATGGCTCATTGACAAACGTTTAGGTTCGCCACACCCTTTTCAACTTTTCTCATTCCCTACCTGAATCCACTCGGCACAAATCATTCCCTACCAAAAGCCTCTTGCCAAAACGTGAGCTCCTAGGAGGGGAGGTGTCCAACATACTCTCAACCTAGTCAGGTGCGGGTTCCCAACATTTGGGGTACTCTGTGGGGAGTTTCACTAACGACGACTATAGTAGTTTGGGGTTTATATCGGGGCCCCCCTATGTAGGGAACTACCACTTCAACACCTGAACCTCAAGCCCCCGTAAACCCCAAACCCTAAACCCTTATATTGGGGTCCCCCGATTTAGGGAAACTACTAGGCACCGCTAGAAATCAATGGGTATTGGGCCGTGAGGCATCCTCTGACAACTACTCGGTCTAAGGTTTAGGGTTGAGGGCTTAGGGTGCAAAACTTCTGTGATGACGCACCACACCGCAAAGACTGATGCAATTGCAAATGAGCGGATTCTAAACTCCTGGTAGTATCCCCCTTAATAGCCCGTAAAACACAACGTATATGATCCCCTATATAACCCCCTTCAAGGAGTTTAGACTGTAGCTCAAGTTATTATTCACAACCCGGTGGTCACTCATACTGCTGGGCCTTTCTGGGAAGAGCACCGAAGCCGGTCAGCAGACAGACCATACAAAACGGATCCCCACCAGCACCCTAAACCCTACACCTTAAACCCTAAACCCAAGCATTTTTGGAACTTGTTGAAAACCTCAAAGCGAACAAAGCTAAGCACCTTGATCTGGGAGTTTCCAATAAGGGTAATAATATTTTGGGGATCTATATTAGGGGCCCCCCTATTTATGGAAACTACCATCTGAAGGCTTGCTGTTCCCATGTCCTGCGTCCACTGATTGCACTTGCACTTTGCCAGCAACCCTTCACGTAAAAATGGCTGAGCGAAAAAGCACATGCGAAGGACCCAGCTAGGCGAACAGGAGCTTTCCACCACCAACGCATCCCTCAACCCAACACCCTCACATCCCACAAAACCTAGGCCATGCTGCAAATTTGACCCCTCAATCCCAAACCTTGAGCATTATGCAAGTCTCAGAGCACGTTTTTTAACCGTCACTTAACCCTACCAAGCTTCCCGGTGCCCGCACGGCAAGCAGACCTTGCTTGCGCTTTGGGATGCGCTTTTGGAATGAACCCGGCTAAGGCGCACGGATCGTACACAAGCCCATCAGTCGTGGCATTCATGCAAAGAGAACATCGGCTTTTGAATCGCAACATTACGCTTCAAATCCTACCGATAGCTTCTTGAACCAGAAGTGGTCCACAGCGAAGATCCAGCTTGGCCGCTCACCTGAAACATTTCGACAGGGGGTTAAAGCTGCAGAGCCGCATGCCAAGGCTCTGCCTGCAAGCACAAAACCATCAACCCAAAAATGCCAGAAGCCTTTAGACAGCCTGCCCTGCATATGTTTACGTGCTGTGGAGGAGCCTCTTCGGAGGCCTCGCGTGGCAGGAAGCAGATGAGGCAATTTGACATTTCGGCGCCATCAGTCGGCGGCTCCATGTTGGTCATGGTGGCTTGTTTTGTTGCTTGGTTGAGGCTCGGCGTCTTCTGCTTGGATACCCCCTTTTGGTAGCTAAAGCTGGTTGGATTGGGACGGGTGTGGACTTCAATGTTCATCTGGCCGAGGACTCATATGCCGCTCAGGCTGAGGGTAGACAATTCTCCGCACTCACCACCTAAATTTGGCAAACATGCAGGACAACAAACACGTGGAGCTCGGCCTGGGCAGCTTCGTGTGTTGCAGTTGTTTGTCACGAAGTATAGGCTCATAGATTTCCTGTGTTTAAGACTTGCTAGCTCTGAAGTGTCGCCGGCACCACCCCGTCCCTGAGCTTTGCAACTCAAACGCGTAAATCATGCCGTCATGGTTTGGACATGTCAGTCGTAAACTCTTGGACGTGCAATGTGATGTGAAGTCAAGGGTCTGGCCACATGCATCTAGCTCTGTCTGCCTGAAAGATTCAAAGAACTCACACAAGCTTACATGGGTCTCACCAAGGTCTTTACAACGACAATGAGGCAAACAAGCAGATGGATCCCAAACCTGGTAGCAGCGCCATGCATGTCATTAAAGCCTGAAGATGTCGATGCACAGAGGCCTTCTGCGCTTGCACGCATCTCTCGGTCCAGAAGAAAACCTATAAACCTGTAGCATTTTAACCAGAACATCTTACGATCCCGACTCCATGTGAATCTATAGACAACCCTTGTCCGAACCAAAGTGATCGTAGCATCCTCTGGTATGAGCCCTTACACCCTCAACACTTCTAGTAACCTAGGCAAACCTGTGATTGAGCATGGTGTGCGCTGTCTCGGCCTTCTGTCATGCTTGGAGATTTGGAGGTTTAGTATCTTGGGGTTTACATTGGAGCCCCTATTTAGGTTAACTACCAACTCTAGGTAGCTGCTGGAAGTCGGGATATCAGGGGGTCACAGTCATCGTTTTAAAAATGTATTCGGTCATTTAGCCGCACCATATTGAACGACCGCGAGGTGGATTACCGTGAGGACTCCCATTTCAACCCTCGTCCGTATCCCCTTGGCAACCATACTGCTTCCAGCCATCTTGCTCATATCATGATGAGCTATGGATTGCACAAAAGGATGCAACGGCAGGCTCGGAAAGTTTTGGGATTCCGTAATATGATGGGTAAAACACCGATTTTTTTTGTGAATACTGATGGGTGTCCTACGAATGACCCGGCTTACGAATGTCCGTGAAGCTTCTAAGCTGAACACTCAGCAGCCAAACTGTCGTCACCACTCTTGTTCTGCATCCTAGACCACAAAGATGTAGCAACGTAGCCGAACATTCAATGCAACAGCACACGGGTCCCGCATGAAGTCCTTATACGGCACCTTCTTGCAGCTCAGCTACCTTACGACCAAACACATGAGCCAGGATTTAGGAATTAGGGCCCTATGTCCATGTCATTTTCTATTCCCCCCTCCATTTGATTCTCGAATATTGGGGCAATATCCCTAGTTCCCTTTCAAGGTGCCTCATATACATATATATATATAAATCCCTACAGAATCCTTATGTCATCCAATATGGGTTGTTCTCAAAATTTTGGGCCGCTTTCGGATATAGACTATATCACGGCACAGGGAAACCAAAATGTGACCCGAATTTTGGAAACTACCCATAAATCCCTCGGTAACCCTAATAATGACCGTAGCCCACATGATCTTCTTTCACGGCTGGAAGGTCAGGTACAGGCCAAGCCTTGGCGGATTAGGGCTTAGAGTCAGGGCTTAGGGCATTGGGCTAAGGGTTGAAGGTTTAGGGTTTAGGGTTTAGGGCTGAGGGTTTAGGGTTTAGGTTTCTGTTCAATGCTGGTGGGTTTGCTGTCCAATTAAGATTTTGGGGGGGTAGAGGGCTTAGGGTGTACAAGTAAAGTTCAAAGGTTTCGGGTGTAGGATTCAGGGTTCCGGAGTTTAGAGCTTGGGTGTAGTCCAGGAGTTTCGGGTTCAAGGGTCTAGGGCTTGGAGTTCAGGGATTGAAGAAGGTGTCATGGAAGGAGCCCTCTGTGTTTGGGGGTCCATAACAAGAGTCCTCCGCAAGATCCTGATTCAGGGCTTCCATGTTTCTTTTGGGAGTTGTTTGCTTTATGGTGTGCGTGTATAATCCCCGTACCCTCCTTATACTGCAGGGGGCCTAAATAATTACCAACATCATTCCGAGGTCTGTTTGAGGTACTCTATGCCATAACATACATGAAACCCAGGGCCTTACTGGTGGTAATAACAAGAATAATAGGTAATAGTCACAACCATAATAACAATGGTAGTCACAATTATTGATATTCAGGGTCTAAACTCCTGGTATCCCTGTGAATTAACCCTTTACTAGTCCCCTAAAAAATCCCCTGTATAACCCGCCCTTTAAGGAGTTTGGACTACAGCTCACATGGCCCTAAACCCTAAACCTTTAAACGCTAAATATGGCTTCTACATCTCCTCTCTCACAGGCACCTCGCGGAGGCGCCTGGGCGCGAGAGGGCCGTCCGGCGGTCAGCCGCACGGAGCAGCGGTGTCGAGGCGGCGGGCGCAGTCTCCGCCAGAGCCCCGAACCTGAGACCCCTAGATTTTAGGGTTTAAGGTTAAGGGTTTAGGGGTTTAGGGATTTAGGGGTAGGATTTTAAGGATTTCCGGTAACCCCAAGAACTTAGGGATATGTAAGGTTGTCTAGGGCGGTTTGTAGGGATTTGTAGGGCTGGGGGTTCACAAATGCCGCGGACAAAAGACGATTGCTTCTAATAGTTGAAAGAACTATTGGAAACCACTTAGAACAGCTGGAGGCACGTGCCAGGTAGGGCCGGCATCGTGATGGACCTGGCCACGCCGTAGGAGGCAACGCTCAGCGGCCTCTCCGAAGATCCAACAGCAGCCAAGGAGAGAAGCCAGAATGACAGCCAGTGGTCCACGCTGAATCCTTCCAGGGGGGCTTGCCGAAAACAATGCCTGCTGGGGCTGGAAGAACCCTAAACCCTAAACCTTAAACCTTAAACAGGGGAACTGAACCCCAACCTTTAATTAACCTAGAGCTTCTCATCAAAGGAGCCGGTAACCCCACCAAGGCCCAGATTCTGACACTAAGGGGATTAAGGATGTAGGGTTTAGGATTTAGGGTTCAGGGTTTAGGGTCCTAAAGGATTGTCATAGGGTTGTGAAGGTTCGGGGTTAGGGTTTGTATGTTAGGGCTTCTTTGAGGGTTTGGGAGTGTATTACTCTAGTCATGTGGGGGCTGTGAGGGTTTCAATACTGCTCTTTCTTCTATACTTTCCTACCCTAAGGCCAGATACTATTTTGGTCCATCATGGCTATACAAGAACTGTTATGCAATCATACTGGTGATTATTCTATCTTGGGGTTTGGTTTTGAGGGTTTATAGTCCTTCTCAAGTAGATAGAATATGGCTTTGGGTGTATTATAATAAGATCCCCATATGCCCATGTCCTATCTACTCAAGGGGGACTATAGGGTTTAGGGTTTGTGTTTGTCAGATCTCCTGCTTGGGAGCACTTGCCAAGGAGGTCCAGAACAGCTTCCAGCGGGAAGCCAGCCATGTCCTCTGCACTTTCAAAGACGTATGCCTATGGTCCCCCTTAAGCGAACAGAATATGTGGCATATGGGGATCTTATTATAACATACCCACAGCCATATTCTATCTACTGAAGGGGGACCATATGCCTAAACCCTGAGGCCAAACCCTAAATTCTAGCTGCCCAAACTCTAGAGACCTCAAGGTTAAATCCTGATCCTTAGACCCCAAACGCCAGTGGGGCTGGTCTGCGGAGAATCTCAGCCAGGAGAAACTACCCATGCATGAGCCATTGTCTAGACTCCTAGTATCCCTCTTAATAAGCCCCATAGTAGTTCCCTATAGTTACTCCCTCTAAAGAGCTTAGACTATAGCTCACATGATTGATGACAAGAACACCTCGGAGGCGGTTGGTTTGTACTCAAGCTGTGCCACACAGCTAGGATTCTTATTCAGAAGGCACGGAAACAGAAAGGTTCGTGCAGTCCCTCACAGGGAGAAACCTGCAATGATTCAGGTAACAGATGCACTTCATCACGACCCCCTGACTATTGACCAGTATCTAAACCCATTCTCCGTTAGCATCAGTGATGTCCTGGGTGCTCTTCAACCTGTTCGCCAAGTCGTTGACATCTTGCTCGACTGCCTGTCAAGGAGCCGGTGCTCCGGGCCCGGAAGTTACAACTCGAGGAGAACTCCAAATGCGAAAGCGCAGCCCATACATATATCAAGTCTTACTATGCTTAAAATTTTCAGTGGGCCGCAGTGGTAACAAAGCCGGTGGGGGTGGGGGTGGGGGGGTGGGGGCGTGAGGTGGGTTAACTTCAAGGGGCGGAGGTTACCATTGGCCTTCATCAAGCAGCTCCTGTTCTGACAGCTGCAAGATTGTTGGCTGCTTCGGTCATTCAACGGTGGCGGTTTAGGGTATAGGGTAGAGTATAGGGTTTAGGGTTGTGAGAACCCTGGGCTGTGCCCTTCACACCTCTTCATCGGCAAAACGTCGATGCACCTCTGCTTCTGGAAGCAGAAGCCCGCCTGAGGGGGTCC